TTAACATTAGCACAACTAACAATCTCCTCCCCACTAAAGGGGGGGGGGGGGCTATAGCTTTTAGGAAAACATATCATGGAATTGTTTTACTAACTTAGCAGCTTTTACATTCCAACTTTTTACCCAAGTAGCTTCAGACAAAGGGAACCCCTTCCAATGCACTAAATATTGCAAACAACCTCTATACAACCTAGAGCCGGGATGGCAAGCCTATGGCACGTGTGCCACAGGTGGCACATGGTGCCATTTCTTAGGGCACGCGAGGGCTGACTTCGGCCTTCTTTTGAGACTGTTTTTTGCCCTCAGGAGGCTTCCTTGAAAAAAACGGCCCTACGGCAAACCACAATTCCTGAACTTCCAGGTTTCCCATACGCCCATTTTTCGCCCTCTGGAGGCGTAAAAGAAGCTCCTGAGGCCTCCGGAGGGCGTCTGTGGGGTGCGGGGGGGCTGTTTTTGCCCTCCCCAGGCTCCTAGAAAGCCTGGCGAGGGTGAAAAACGTGCAAAAAGTGGGGGGGGACTGGTTGTGCGTGCATGTGCGCGGGGGGGGGTATGTCATGCATAGCATAATGGGTATGGCATGTCTGCCCATTCCCCCCCCCCCCATGCTCCCCCTGCTTTTGGCAGGGGAACCAAAAAGGTTCGCCATCACTTACCTAGAGTCTAAAATTTTCTTCATAGTGTGTTTCTCCCTCTATCACTACTGGAGGAGGTTTGAAATCACCTTTGCCATATACCCTTGTTGGCCAGCTGGCCACAGAAAATGTCTTTGACAATGCTGACTCCCTTGGCCAAGAAATGGAGACCAACACTGCCCCCTAGAGTCAGACACAATTGGGGAGAGAAACCTTTTCCTTCACCTTTTCCTGGCTCCCTTATTAAGCTTGTCTGGGGGCGTTGACGGCAGCATTTATTTTCCCTTCCTGTTGGGCTGGTAGAAACTCTTGACATGTTGCAATTATATTTGTAATTTGTGTCTCTGAAAGGAGGAAAATCAGGTTGTGCTTGTTTCTTCTGCGTTGTTCTTAGCCAGATGATTGTTTGCTGCATCAGGATTTGCAGCTAATGGTGGGGTGGAGAGGTGTTCTAAATGATTGCCTCCCTCTCTTCCCAGTATACACTCTGGGAAATGGAAGCATATATTTCCAGTATACATTCTGGGAAGTCTAATATACTTCATATTGAGGATTTTGAAGGTAAGAGTGGGAGACTAAAGGGAATATTTTTCATAAACTTGAGAACTGAAAATTTTGGATAATTCTCCATCATCTTCAGAAGATACGGAGAGGGAGAAAAAGAGAGAAACAGCACAGTTAATTTCTTCTTATTACTGGCTGCCCCCACAGAAGTAGAATGATTTTTAGATAGGGAAACTTTAACACTCAAAGAAACAGATTAAAAAAACGAAATGATAGTTTTTGAAATCTATATATAGAATTATAAAGCTTCTATTTCCTGGTTTTGTTTTGTTTATAAGATTAATGGTTTTTGCAATTCATTTTTGAATTCTTGGGACTAGATCTCAAATACTGGTAACATGTTCAAATGCTGCTTGTCATTTGAATAATGTACCAGGAAAACTAATATTAAAACTGAACAAAGTTTTTTGATTCCCCAGTTTTCTTCTTCATTTAAGTCTCTGATTAAAATTGCTTACTTGTCTTAGAGATCAATTCAAGTTATGATTATCTGATGCTCTTCATGTAACGCTAAAGGATAAATAATGTATTTTGTACAAATAATGTACTATAATGTCAATTCATCAAACTATTTAGAGGGGAGAGTTATAAGCAACCTATCAATCAATACTAACTCTAGGAAAGTGAAGTAGTACAATTTTCAAAACAAATGTTACTAAAATTTGATGATGAATACTCTGCCTACAAGGGCTTGAGTACAAATATGTAATGTGTTTGTAATCTGGTTTTTAAAATTTTAAATATTAATGAAGTGAAATAAGTACCTTTATAGATATGGCACTGATGGAAAATTGTTCTTTATATTGGTATTTATGTAAATACTTTATAAATTAGTTTTAGTTAACAAATTATTCACTTTTGTTCTGAAGAAATAACTCTGCCAATTATCTCCTACATGAAATTGCAGCTCCATTAAAATCAGTTAAAAGAAATCCAGCAGAGTAAAAGCAGTGAGCAAGCATGTTCTGTTCTCTAGAATTGTTTTCATGGAGTTATTGAAAGGAGATAAAATATTTTAAGACATGAAAAAGCCCTTATTACACAGTTGTTATGGTAGGATGTTACTAAAATTTGGCTCAGTCTTTTCTAGGTGAAAAATCTATCAAACTGCTTCAGCATAGAATAAATAGAATCTATTTCTTTGAATGCTTAAATGCTAGCAAACAGGGTAGTTTAAATAACATAAAGCAGAAACCAGAAGGAAAAGAAAATCTACATTAACCATTCATGAAAATGAAGAGCTGCATACATACAGGGTCAGTAGAGGGGCATGTAATCTGGTGGATGAAGGTAATTTTCCATTCATAACATGGAAGTTTCTGGATGCTTGGATATCTGGATATTTAGTTATTTCCTCGCATAGACAGAAATAAATGCAAAGAAAGGTTTGACAAAACCACCATTTCAACTCCTCCAACATTGGGTTTTTCTATATAATTTGAAAAATTCAATGCCTTGCCTTTTCTACTTCATATAATGGCTACTTTATCAGTTAGCTAAATCCGTCTGATGTTCCAATAACAATACAGAGATTTGCTTCAATTTTTAAGCATACTGAATGGAGAATATGAAGAGAAGCTCTAGTTTATCTATCTATGAAGAGAAGCTCTAGCTTATTGTCAATTAATATTACATTATTCTTGGAAAAAGTAGTATTGAGGTAATAGAGACAAGATTCATTCTGGTTACTTCTTGATAAACTACCCAGTCTTTCTGTATTCCTTAATACAGTAAGTTTCAATGGAATCGAAACTTTAAATTCCATAGATTTATTTATATCTGAAAAAGGTGCTAAAATAAGTACTGCATATTCTGGTGTTTGCCCTTAAAGAATTAAGATTGGGGTCTTTTTTCAACAGAAAGGGAGAAGGAAAGAATCTAGTACAAAATTGGGAGTTAAGGGATTGCATTGTTGGCTGTGAAAAACAGATTGATGGATATTATTGAAGGAAGAATGAGAATAGATTGTAATGTGAAGAAAACACCAGGATAGAAATCAGGGTCACTGTAAATTCTAGTCCCACTTTAGGCATTTAAGCTAACTGGTTGATTTTCAATCAGTTATTCATTCTCTCTTCGTCAGTTTATCCCAAAGGTGCTTTTTCAAGAGGCAACTGGACTTTCAGCCAACTTAGCTCACTGAATTTTTGTTGCGGGAACATACGATGAAAAAGGGACCATTACATATTTTTAACCTTGAATTATTTATAAAAATAATAGACTTGGGATAAAAATCAATAAATGAAATAAAAAAAATGAAATAAATTTAGTGTAAATATAGTCAGAGGGAGTAAGCTGTCATTATCTTTGATTGCTTTTTTCATGGCCTTTTTTTATGTAGGTGTCCTAATCAAGTCCCATTTTATAGACGTTTTCAAAACTGCTTACTGAGCATCAGCCTCTTTGAGAGCCCCTCATTATGAGGTTTGTCCACATTCAACAAACAATTACCTGTTAGTTAAAAGAGTGTCCCATTATACTGTAAATAGAGAGAGAACTGCTTTCTCCTCCCAAGATAGGAGGTGGTGGTGGTGGTGGTTTTATCTAAAAGGACAAGACAACCCTACTATCTCAGTGAGATTTCTTGAATACCCAAATAAATACCTGGCCTGGAAAAGGGGCTAAAAAGGGGTTCCAGGAATCTAGAAGAAAGTGATTTGAACCAGGATCTCTAGGGTTTTTCCACACTTTCAATTTTACAATTTCTTCCCTTGAATTAATGGGGATAAAGGCTCTTACCCTATCGTATTAACATTTTCAGATGAAACCTCCATCACAGCAATCTTTAGGAATTGCAAACGTCTAAAAATAGTTTGTGTGCAATCAAGTCAGCATTGGCTCAAGTTTCATTGGCAAGATTTTCAGAAATGCGAATTTCCCCTTGTTGCTTCCTAGAACTGAGAAAGAGTGACTGGCCTGAGATCAGCTAGGTGGCTTCCTGTCTCAGGGTTCCAAACAGCATCCAAAATAAATGAAGAATCCGAGGCGCAAGAGGTTCCTCAAAATTCCAACTTATTAAAAGAGTCATATTGGCACAACTTCCAGGTTTTCCCACCCAGTTGAAAGCTCAAGACCCTGCCTCCAACGCCCACATGTCTATCCCATGGTCCGGTCCTTCATTGCCATGAAGAAAGATTCCTCCCATCCTCACCCGTCCAGGTTTCAGGGGCTTTTGGAGAAAGAATGTTCTTATGGCTACACATCACCCAACTCTGTATAATCCTCCCTCCTGTTCTCCCACAGTAGAAAGTGTGGCAGGCCTGAAATCCAAAAGGCAAAAGATAGCTTCCAGGCCTGACATCCTGTCTAAGGTGGGACTAGAACTCATAACTTCAGAAATCTAGTCTGGTATCTCAGCCATTACATCGCACTGGCTATCATCTAAACATACTATATGGGTTTATAATTATAAAGTTAATGTGATAATAAGAGCCCGGACCTTCAAGCTAATTCAGTTTAGATATTGCTGCAATCTTGTGACACTTTTTTCCTTTGGTAGGGAGAAGCAAGACTCGCGGCAAAGCGTGCGGCACGAGCTGAAGCACGGGAAATTAGGATGAAAGAACTTGAGAAGCACCAGAAGGAGGTATGTGAGGGCTTCTTAATTGTCTGCATTATCTTGACTTCTGAAGTACAACAATTTCTTCACAATTGGGATAAAATAGACAATTTTTGTAAGAGTCATACTTGGTGCCCATTACAAGAATGTTATGAAATTATCTCTTTTTCAAAAAATACCAGCATGCATGTTTAGAAATAAAATGCATCTCATTCTTCCTACTTGAGGACAGTCTATTAAGGAATGCAACTGAAATGAAAACTTGTTGATTATGTGCACGAAATCTGACAATCTTTATTGTCATTTTTTTTCAGTGAACACACTGGCACACATTAGAAATGAAATTCTGATGCTCACTCTCAAAAGGAAACATATATCCATACACAGATATACAAACACATAAACATAAAAGTTCTCCTTGACTTTCCCCTCATATTTTGTTCATTCATATGTTAATATTTGAGTGTTAGCAGTATTCCTTCTCTATTGCAATTTTATGCCAAAACCAAAAGTCTCCCAACTGCTCACTGGTTTGCCTCTTCAGCTCCTGCTTTGGTGTCATGGAAGCCTTACGTATCCGGAGATCCATCCAGTGTCTCTCTTGGCAGAGTAATTAATCTCTGCATGAAGCGTTGGATATTGAGATAATCAAGTGTCAGCTGATGCTTCATTTTAACACACTAGTTATAAAATGATTTATCATGGAAGAGCACGCCCATAGATTGGAGTAGCCAATTCATAAGTTTCATAGATAAACGACCTCATCCAGATTTAAAGATGGAATATATCTGGAATTAGAGCACTTCCTCAACCAAAGCTTCTATATTTTGCTTGGATTGACCCTAAGCTTGTTGTTTCGCATCCTGACTCTTAACATCTTTAAACACTGGAAAAGAATAACAATTATTTTACATAACAGTATAGAACTTCAAAATGTTAATTTTACTTAAACATATTTTGTCTGGTCTATTTAAAGTTAATGTGAGTTGAGACAATGAAAATGAACTTGTGTGAAAGTTGTCTCTTAACAGTTGCGTAGATGGTGTCTTTTTTTCCTGTAGAGTCGAGGGAGGGGTTACACTTGGATATAGTCACAGCCTGACTGGTCCATAGACTGAGGGAATTTTCTTAAATATTCCACCATTCCCTATTGGCTCCCAGTTTCCTCTCAGTCTTTTGGTTCAAGCACTGCTTTGGCTCCTAGGTAGGAAATTACTAAAATTTGTTTACATTCATTGGAATAACTTTAATTATAATTGACTATTCTAAAACTTCCAAATTATCTAAATTTGATAGCTGCTGCCCTCAGGGACAGTTGTTTCTGTCCTGTTGCGAGGTAGGAGAGCCTATCTGGTGTTCCTCTCCTACCTCGTGGGGCTGGGAGCCCTGCTCTGATCCCTGGGCCAATGGGGTTGACGGGCTTCATCTTGCAGCCATTTGGGAGCAAAGGGAGGCTGCAAAGCAATTCGGCATGTCCGTGACTTAGTTCACAATTCTCACAATGGGGAAAGGACCCACATACTTTCTGCGACTTCTGGGTAGCCTGTAGGTACTTAGTAGAAAGTAAAACCCTATCTCTAACTTGGTATTCTTTTGGCATAACTTTTCTTAATCAGACTGTCTCTTACATGCTTGGTGAGCTTCATCTAACGCCTTATGAGTAATGGGCCAGTTGAACTGGAGTTGTTCAATCCACTCTGCCAGGGAAGGGTTTCGTGGCCTCTCCTGGGCCAGTTCCGGGATGGGTACAAAGTCCTGACCAGAGACCACATTGAATAGGGTGAAACCCGTGCTACTATGTATGGCATTATTATATGCCACCTCTGCCAGTAAGTCGGCCCAGTTATTTTACTGATAGTTCACGTAGCACCTGAGGTACTGTTCTAGAACCGAATTAGCACATTCACAAGCGCCGTTAGTTTGCGGGTGTTTGGCAGAACTTAGACCTTGGGCGGAGCCTAATAATTCTCTCCAAACAACTCCCTCCAAAAGTGGGAGGTGAACTGGACCCCCCTGTCCAAAATAATGCATTCAGTAACACTGTGTAACCTATACACACATTGAATAAATAATTTAGCTAATGTTTTTGCTGAAGGGATCTTGGAACAGGGTACGAAATGCACCTGCTTGGAGAAAAATCCGTAACCACCCAAATGACTGTGTTTCACTGCTCTCGAGTAATTCAACGATAAAGTCTATGGATGTCTCTCTCCAGGGAGCACTAGGTCTAGCAGCCTTCGGAGTAATCCAGGCGGTTTCCAGGTAGCCTCTTTGCAGAAGCACAGACAGGACAACTATCGACGTAGGCCTCTATGTCCTTTTTCAAAGATGGCCACCAAAACTGCCGTCTAACTAAACGTAATATCTTCAGAAACCCAATGTGTCCAGCAGCTTTTAAATAATGGACCTGTTGTAACACAACTCCCCTAAGCTTGGCTGAACTTAGCCCCAACCCATGCAAGGCCATCACGAATCGTACATGTGTTTGAGTGAGACATGAACCAGACATCAGTTGTTAGTGCTCCCTGAAGCCACATGCTTAGATCAGTGGATATATCGAGATCAGCCTTTCCTTGGGCTCTGGTTACCACAGGAGCAGCCAATTGCTTGGAGGGGATGACCGGGTGGATCACTTTGGGCTGGGTGCTATTATATTGGGGCAGTCTGGATAGGGTGTCTGCCATAAAGTCGTCCCCCCCTCCCCCCGGAAGGTAGCGTAGAGAGAAATTGAAGTGATTAAAGTGTTGTGCCCAACAAACTTGCTTCGGCGACAACTTCTGGAGTGTTTTCAAGGCCTCAAGGCCTTCCTATAGTCCGTCCACACCTCAAAAGGCATTTTGGCCCATCTTGGACCATGAAAGGGGTGTCCATGTCAGGATATTTTAGGATGGGCTCAGTTGCAAACAATCATTTCAGTTTCTCAAATGCAGCCTGGCACTCCCATGGTCCACTCCAGGAAGCTGCTAGGTTTTGACTTCTCCATTTAGGAGATTTGTAATGGGCAGTGCGAATGAGGGGAGGATGAGCTGAAACTGTGCTCAAAATGTTTTCTTTGTCAAAAGAAATGTCTGCTGTAGTGAAATGATGAGAAACGTCACAGCCAAATTAAGATGTTTCCACCGCTGAATGTTACAGCTGTGTTCGTGTATTCAGATCGGGATGACGTAGAGGAAGAGGGTCCAGGGGTCCTATTGCTTGAATTGAGATTTCATTAGTATTGGAGCCATATTGGAGAACTATTGGCAACCATAAGGTCAACCTAGGTAGAGGCATTTTAGGAAGGTCCAGGAAGTTTGCACATTGGAGACACTAAGCAAAAGGGCATCGTGTGCATTGAAGAGTAGGATCCGCAGTTTGATTGATGAATCTGAGCTATGCCCTGGGTGAAGGCAAGGCATGCATACTTTATTACCTTCATTTCCTTTGACAGCGCTTAGTAGAAACTCTTGTCTATGAATATCCTGTATTGCTGTGCCTTGCCCTTCTCTGACATCATCTGTTGCTTCTTCAATTTCCTCCCTGCAGCTAGCCATGCTAACATAGAAAAGATGTAAGCTGAGAGTAGTGCTAAGTAATTTTCTATCTTAGTTGGCTGGGCATTGGATTCAGCACAGTTTGGGCTTTGGCCATTTGGGGATTGGTCTGTTAGGCCGTGGGACCACCATTATATTTACTTATTACCTACACTTCGTCTAGCAGCAGAAAAAAACCATGCTGTTCTTTCACGTGTAAAAGTTCATTGGTTTATAGTTAGGGTTGAAATTTTATGCCATGAAGGACATTCTTTGAGCTCCCCCTGCTTGGGGACAGTACATTATAAACTTCTGCCTATATTTTTCAACCTTTGCAAAATAAGCAAAAGTAAGTGATTGTCTTATGTGTTGTGATAACCTATTGGGAAGTCATCCTTCTCTGAATTTTTTGACACCTAAACAGATAATTTGCTGTAGTTAACTGGTAAGCCGATAGCAGGGTATATAGCAGTGATGGCTAAACTTTTTCCCATTGTGTGCCAAAAGCAAGGGGAGCGCAGGGGGGGGGTCATGCACGGGCATGCCCACACCTATAATTCTATGTTCGTGACCTCTGGGCGCATGTGTGCGCAACCTCCACGCACGCGTGCATGAACCCTCTGTGTGCATGCGTGCATGATCCCCGCTTTTGCTGTGTGATGGACCCGCTTTTCGCCCTCCCCAGGCTCCAGAGGCTTCCTAGGAGCCTAGGAGCCTGGGAAGGGCAAAAATGGCCTCCACTGCCCCCCAGAGGCTCCAGAGGGAGAAAAAGGTCCAAAAATGAAGGTCAAAGTCAGCTGGCCAGCGCTGGAGCTGACAGGGCAACGCCTCACGTGCCCTAACAAATGGCTCCACGTGCCATCACAGGTAGATAGAATGGTCTCTCACTGACGGAAGAAGGTGTGTCTGAGGAGCTCAAAACAAAATGCCATGGGGGGGAAGCAGAATTGGAGAAGGAGGGGAGTGGATGGCAACTTATGAGGGATGTAAGAAGTCTGTGTCAACTTCAAAATGGATTGGGCCTCTGTCGCAGCCCTTTTCTCCATTACACAGGTGACCCTTGGGGGGGGGAGGAGGGGGGGAGCTTTGGAATGTCAGACCAGACATCAATAACTTACTATCTCGTGGAAACCAAGGTCATCCCAGCGGGTGATGGTCAGAGACTGGGAGAGGTTACCAAGGAGACACCAGAACACCTAACTGGACAGTGTGACCTGTGACAAGGAGGGAGGGAGCTGTCTAATCTTTAATTATACTGAAAGCTCAGGAAATAGCCAGAGCTGGTTTGCATTTCAAATGTGTCAAAATAAAGCAGTTCTTTGAGAAAGCTGAAAGTTTCTGGATTGGTTGGGTTAATTACTCGGAATGTTGACAGTCTGAAGTCTTTTTTTGAAGTGGACCACAAGCACTTCAGAGAAAACAATCTTCTTCCAGTCCCAGAAAGAAGACCACTGCTAGTTTGAAAGAGGTAAAACTCACCAATAGTTTTGCCTTGACTTATCTCTAAATAAAAAGTAGTGGGACCACCATTATATTATATTTAGGTAGAATATTTAAAAATAGAGATATGTGCATATATTATGCCAACATTACAATTTGCAAATTTAGTAGAAAAGTTTCTACTCAGGCTGCTATATTTCTCATTCAAATGGGCAAAGGGAGGAGGAAGCAGAGTGTAAGGACTTGCCTCTCCTCTCTCTCCAAAAAAGTAGAACTCTTAAAACAGGCATCATTTCAAAAGGAAATTTTTATTGAGAGAAAGTGACAGTAAGTAAAGCAAGGCAGGATCTGAAGTTTAGGTTAAGCATTGCAGAACACCCCTTCCCTATGTCCAGTCCAAAGTAAGCCAATCCACAGGTGCGAAGTTGTTGTGAGAACTCAAGCTGAAAAGGTGATAAGCTGTTTTAAGGCACTGCGTTGTCCATTCTTTTGGAGCTGAGATGAAACAAATGGCCCCAGGCCAATCCCTCCCCCTCCCTTTCCCAAGCAGGTACATCAAAGTGATAGGAAGACTAGAAACAGGAAAGAGGCTGTAAAAGGGCACCCCGGAGCCCCTCCCTGCCAGAATGGCAGTATCCTGATAGGGATCGGAGGGAGCTGACATAGAGAATGGAATGTGGTTATACAACTGTAAACAATTCTTGTAAAGGAAAACTGAAAGTAAATGCTGCATCTCAACCAGCTCACAATCCCCGCTTCCAATTTCCCAGGCACTGAATGGGGCAGTCCTGAAGATCCAAAAGAAGAAAAATGGGCTCCAGGGCTGATAGTGAATACACTTCTCCCATTGATTTTTCTTGTTGAAAGCCAGCTGGGAAGGTCTCAAATGGTGATCACATGATCCCAGGGCAATGCAGCTGTTGTATGTATCTGCCCAAATTTTGATCACATGTCCATGAAAATCCTGCAATGGTCATGAGGATTGGTCATAAGTCACTTTTTTCAATGCCATTGTGACTTCCAATAGAAGAAGATCCAACTAAAAGAAGATCCTCAAAACAAGTAGTTCTTCAGGCCCTTCAAATTGGGGGGTCAATGTCAGGACTGCCATCATTCACCTGAGCTTTGCCTTCGCTAGCTGCCAGCCTGCCATGGACTATATGGGTAGAGGGAGCTGAACGGGAGGGAGTTGAAGTTAATCAAGGAATTTTGGCATGCGAATTTCAGTTCTGGCTTTTGCTATATTGTAATCCACTTGGCTTTTAGTAAAAGTATATCTTTCACTACAAATGGAATCGAGAGTCGGTCTTGACTAAAAGACCATGTTGGGGCAGATCTGACAATATTCTAAAAAGAAAAATAAAGGCTCTTGAAAAGAATCACTGACTATATAGAAAACACCATTGAATTTGGATTCCTCAGCCATGGCCTCAGCTATCCATCTCGGTAAATGTAGGTACCAATCATGATCCCAGAAATTGCTGCACCAATACACAAAGTATGGGAATTAGAGAGAGAATGTGAAATTCTAACAAGAGGACAAATGTGATGCCATAAGCACTACTTGAAGCTGGTTGTGTGTGTGAGAGAGAAAGAGCGAGAGGGAGGAAGTGGGGTTTGGGATTAGGATTAGGATTATTGAAGAGTATTTGCCTGTTTGGAAATTTAGGAATTAAAACATGGAAAGTCCCCGGAGATGTGTTTGGGTGAGAACAAAAAGGGAGAAAAAGAAACATTATGGTTTGTAATAAACTCTTATAATATCCTTTTATTTGTCCCCCCTTTCAATTGCTCTGATATCTAGATATGTCAAAACTGGGCCACCTTGAAATTTTAGGTTCAGTTTCTATAAATGTTGGCTGCAGCTTTTGGAGCTTCTTAAAAGTTAGTTTAATTAGCAGATTTTTTCCTACCATTCTTGCAATGGTAAGAAATGAAAAAAAGAATATCCTATGTTGATCTTCCTGGATATGATAAGAGTTAATATTAAAAGTCTATAGCCACTTATTTGGTTATGTAGATTTATTTTGTTGATTATGTAGATTAATTTCAAGCTGACAAATAAATTGTGTTATATCATGTTGACCTACGGCCACAATTAGGACCAGCCAAGGTGGCGCAGTGGTTAAATGCAGCACTGCAGGCTACTTCAGCTGACTGCAGTTCTGCAGTTCGGCTGTTCAAATCTCACCGGCTCAGCCTTCCATCCTTCCGTCCTTCTGAGGTGGGTAAAATGAGGACCCGGATTGTTGTTGGGGGCAATACGTGCTGACTCTGTTAAACTGCTTAGAGAGGGCTGAAAGCCCCATGAAGCGGTGTA